CACTTCAGTTCCCTGAGCCTGCTCCAGCATTTAATACCTTCATGGCTGATCACAGTCTCAACTCCTGCCTGCGCTCCAGAACACTTCAACCTATTATTAATTAAAAATCTGTCTGTCTCCTCCTTAAATTTATTAATTCTCCCTGCATCCACTGCACCCTGGGATGATGAATTCCACAGATACACAAGCCTTCAAGAAAATTATTGCTCCTCATCTCTGTCCTAAATCTGCCACCCTTTCTGACCTGGTCGTTACCAGATTGTTGTTTGTGGGAGCTTGCTGGCCACCATGTGACCTACATTCTGAAAGTACGACTGGCTGCAAACAATGTGTCCCCCTGAGCTGCAGGGTTGCTCTGAAGGTCAGTGTGTGTAGGTCAGCGTGCAGACACATTGAATTCCACTTCTGGAAATCGCAGCCCAGCATGCTTTTCAGAGGGTCATGCAGTGGCAGGAAAAGTTTGAGGGAATGTCAGCCGCAAAATTCTGCACATGCAGAATTTGTGAAAGGCACTTTATAGATGTGGAAACGTTCTCCATTCAAAGGCCCGTGGAATTCTGTACCACAGGGTTGCAGGCACTGAATATATTCAAGAAAGAGATTAGTTCTTTTTTAGATTTGAAAGACACCAAGGAAAATGGTGAGAAAGCAGGAATATGGCACTGAGATAGAGGATCAGCTATGATCCTATGGAATAATGGAGCAGACTTGAAGGGCTGATGGCCTACTCCTGTTCCCAGTTTCTAATGCTTCTAGCCTGCAAAATTATAAAGGAAGTTCACACTGCAGGGTACACGACAGTATTAAGCTGGATGGTTAATGTTAACTGTTACTGTATAGGATTATAATGTAGGATTGTAATGCAGGATTATATTTTGTGTTTAAATAGGGATCAATATCCAAGGTTTCCCTAGAGGATTAAGTTAAAAGATTACATTATAGGGCAAGGACACAGTTACCAACTAGGTACAAACAGTTTGTGGTAAGGAACTTGATGACAGAGCTGGTAGAGAGTGCAGAGTAAGGCCACGATTATTTGACTGAATTATCAAATAAATAATCCTAACACACAATATAGCTCTAGAATCACCAAATCACAGGAAGTATCCTTCCTGCACCTACCTTGTTGAGGCCTGTAAGAATTTTGCTTGCTTCAGTTAAATTAACTCTCACTTTTCTAAACTCAAGATATAAGCCCAGGCTCCTCGATCTTGTTAGGTATTAATTCATTCAGTTCATTCTGAAAAATCGGAAATTTTGTATTGATTTATGGGATGTGGGCATCACTGCCTAGACCAGCATTTATTGTCCACCCCTAATTGCCCAGAGGGCAGTTCAGAGTCAACCATATTGCTGTGGGTCTGGAGTCACGTGTAGGCCAGACCAGGTAAGGATGGCAGTTTTCTTCCCTAAAGGACATTAACAATGCCATATGGGTTTTTCACCAATAATCAACACATGATCATCATTAGACTCTTAATTCCAGATTTTATTGAATTCAAATTCCACCAACTGCCATGGCAGGATTTGAAACCAAGTCCTGAGACTTTAGCCAAGTCTCTGGATTAATAGTTTAGCTATAATACCTCTAGCCTATCACCTCCCCTTGAATTACTATCTCCAACCTATTAGTCCTCTAGCTTAGTGGAAATGGCAACATTACCATTCTGCCACCATCGCCCTTAACACCTTCTGCCAATCCAATGATCTTTTGTTTAATTAAAGACTCTGATCATTCTTATTGTAAAATTTTAACCATGCTCACTGGTACTGACATCCTTCAGCATAATGTCCCTTCAGAATCATATTGCAGTAATGATTTAGTGATGATACTTTTTCTAATATTGTCTGATCAATATGCAGCCACCCAGTTGACCAATATACAAAGTCCCACTAGTGACCCCTGGACCCAGTTAGATCCATCAACCAGTCACAGGCATCCTGCCTCACTGCTGTCCTCAGAGGACAGGTGAGGAGTATTATTGTAAGTCACGCTCACATATCTCTAAGCAATTGCTTACAAAACAGCAGTGGAAGCTGTTTGGTGTATTCTTGACATTTTGTGACCATTTGTACATTCATGTCTGCAGAAACTCCAGCTGAAACCAGTCTTATCAATACTCAGTTGATTTTGACCATAGGCATACAACGCTGGGAGCAAATCTTTCAAACTAGTGTTCAGTGAGGAACCACGTTAGTCTAAAAGCCCAAACCCTGCCAATTGCCAATGGCATTGATGTAATTTTACCTCCAGCAGGGTATTTTACCTGATGCAGCAACCCCTGGCCCATATCTCATGAAGGAAGGAGACAGATGGGAAGACTTGTGTTTTTATATCTTCTTTTCTGACTACCAGATATCCCAAAGCACTTTTCCACCAATGAAATACTCTCTGAGACTGTGATAACTGCTGAAATGGAAGGGAAAGTCAGCAGCAAATTTGCGCACAGCAAGCTCCAAAAAACAGCAATGTGAAAATGACCAGAGAATCAGGATTGTTTGGTGATTACTGGTTCAGGGATAAATATTGGTCTGGACACTGGGGAGAACTCTTGGCCCTTCTTCAAATTCTGTATTCAAATCTATTCCACCCACTGAAATGGCAGGTAGCTTTAGCATCTGATCAAAAAGACAGCACCTCTGACAGTGCGGCATTCCGTCAATACTACATCCCACAGTCTGAATTCGGGGTCTAGGTTCTGAGATTTGAAATCCCCAGCTTCTCACTGAGAGGCAAGGACACTACCCACACGAAGCTGTGGTTGAGACCAAGAAGCAGAGAGATAAGTGAATTAAATAACTCTTGTCAAGGGAAGAGTTGTTAAGCAGTGGTTAAAAACTGCAAAGCAGATTTATTGCCACACCTGGGCTAGGCTACGTCACAGCAATGATCCTCACATCATGAGAAGGAAGAGCTCAGTCACAGTAAGTCATAAAAAAATTCCCAAAACCTAGTGGACCTAATATTTTTCATATCACAGCAATAATTATAAAATACAACTGAAAACTAATCTTTAGAGAGCAACCACATTAATCCAAAAGCCCAAACACTGCCAACATAAGGTAGAAATAATGTGATGTTGCCTCCAGTGGGGTATTGTACCTGACGTGCAATGTTCATGTTATCCCTAATAATATAAGAAAATGAGCAAGGATACCGTGCTATTGAAGCATCTAACAGGAGCTCATTACAGCTAACTATATATTTTACACATATATTATACAACAATTGAATTGCATGCTTCCAGTAGAGTGTCATGCTTCAATTGACCCCAAGGTAAGATGGTTTTGAGATCCTTATAACCTCGGATCACATAATATGATGCAATGATTATATCATGAGCATGTCATTTTAAAGGCACACTAATATACTGATATAGTGAGACATAACAACAGGCAGTTCAGAGATTCCAGTCATGTGGAGTCAAAAATAAAAATACTCATCTCAGGTTGAAATTCAAGATGTTGTCGCAAAGTAGTTCCCATTGCTTAGTCATGCAGAACTTGACATTTGCTGTTAAGAGGAACATGTTGCCAAAACTTTTCATCTTGCAGTAATCTGGACATACGCAAGAATGCCAGATTTCAAAAGATCAAGTCGAAGATTCACCTAGAGTGACAGATAGCCTCCTCACACTGGCCCGGACCCTCCCCACTCACCAGTGATACTAACTCCTGAGGGGCAGGCCACACAGGAAAGATAATAATTCGAGCAAAAATTCTGGGGAATTGCTTCCTAACTCGCAAGCAAGTACCATGAGAATGAAACTATTTGCAACACATCTCTATCAGTATCGAAGCTAATCTTTAAATTACAGCAGACTAGTTATACAACCATAGAGGCAACCATAAGCAAATCTGTTCTTTTCATACTGCACCCACCCACCCTCCACGGCTCTCCCTCCCCCATCCCAATCAAATGGTGAGAAACATTGGAATCTGGTCGGGATCAGCAGCCCTGGCTGACTTTCCCCCACTCTCTGTGCTCCATCTTAGCCCTTGAAATGTTGGACTTAACTGCAATAGCCCAATCCCACAGTCCACCCAATTGGAATCATTTGAAAGCAGCAAGAGAGGAGGAAGCATCGCAATAATACAATTGATAGCATAAAACAGGCCATCCAGCCCATCATGTCTACACTGGTGCTTATGCTCAACGTAATTGTCTTCATAGCTAACCTCATGGCATCATAAGTGATGTACACAGACAGAGCCTATTCAGCCTTACAATTCCATGCCAAAACTTTGAAAGAGCAACACAGTTAGTCCTGGCCACAGCTCTCCAAGCTTTAATCTATTCCTGCAATTGCCTTTTGAAAATTCATGTCTGCTTCCAACATGATCCATTCAAAGCCCATCACTATGCACTGCACACAAAGAAATCATCGTTTCACTCTCTCTCCAGGCATTTTTTGCTAAAGACGACAAGTTCTCAGGTTACCAAGCCTCCTGCCACTGGAAACAGCTTCTCTCAATCTACTCAATCCCCAATCTCAATCAGCAAAATCCTTGAATGTTTGACCACCTCAATTAACTGTTCCCCACCCCCCCAGCCCCCTTAACATTCTCTGCTTGATGGAGAATAACCTCAGCTTCTCTATTCCCTCTCCAGAAACAAAGTTCTCTCCTCCTTTGCACCATTCAAGAACTAGAGAATATTTACACCATCAAATCAGCCAATCAGCACAACAAGTCCTGGTTGTTTTCTATTCTACACAAACCTCCTCCTTAGCTCAGTTGGCTGGATGGCTGCTTTGTAATGCATTGTCACACCAACAGTATGGGTTCAATACCCTTAATGGGTGAGGTCACCATGAATGAACCTCTCCCTTGCCTTGAGGCATGCTGACCCTCAGGTTAAATGACCACTAGTCATCTCTCTGTCTCTAACGAGACAGCAGCCCCATGGTGACTTTCGCTTACCTCCCATGCCATTGATATATCCTTTTTCCCTCCTGTACCTATCCAGATTCCCCTTAAATACATTTCCCAGAGCTCACCAAGTCTGGAACTATCGGTCTTCTCACATCCTCCAGCTCTATTTGGAGAGCACTGTGCAGGTTAGGAGCTGCTTCACTGTGAGTATTAACTGGAGGGATGGATTGGGTTGACTGCACACAGAGCCAGAGTGTGAGCGCGCGCAGTGGGGGTGCTGGGGGAGGCGAGTGTGCAAAGCGGTGTGATGGCAATACTCACTCATACACTGATAACTGGTTTTACCACTCAGCGGTTTGCTGCACAGGGTACAGCTGGTGGAGCTGGAGAAGGATCCTGGCACTAAGTGGTGGCCATTGTTACACTTCCTCTTTTCTTTGGGACTCTCCTTTTCTTTCTCTTTGGTCTTAGCCTGGGGAAAGGAAAGAGACACAACAAAGAGAAGCAGTTCATTTTGAAAGAACAGCAGGAGGCTTTCCGGCCCCTTCCTAAGTCTGTCCCAATGCCAGATTTGTATCATTGCTGTGGTTCCAGAACACCTAATCCCTAATCTCAATTTTGGACATTTTGTAATCATCACCTCCAGCCTCAACAGGGTATTAGGGGAAGAAGAGGTTCGTATTTTCACTGTCTTTTGTGTGACCAAATGCTACCTCATATTGTCCCAGGTAACTAGCCACCGAAAAGGAAGCATCTTTTTTCTTAAATGCAAGGAATGGAGGGATATGGACCAAGGGCAGGCAGGAGGGATTAATTTAATTTGGCATCATGTTCGGTACAACATCGTGGGCTGAAGGGCCCATTCCTGTGCTGTACTGTTCTATGTTTAAATCAGCTGGTTCAGGGGTATTATGACCCACCTCTGGAGGAGATAAGACTCAAACCTAGGCCTTTTGACTCAGAGGCAAGGACACTACCACTGTGCCACAAGCAGAGGCTAGCCTCTTATGAGGACCTTCTGGCCTCAGATGGACTCAATTAATAAAGTACAGAAATCAGGCGGCTCTTTTGGGCAAGTTCAGCTAACAGGTGAATTCTCCTAGTATTTACTGGCATGTACTCTGAGGGTGAGTGTCTATGTGGTACTTGGCAGGTTCTTGCAAAGAGCCATCCAACCTTCTTATTGAAACATACAAGATTTTGAGGGGGTTTGGCAGGGCTGATGTTCAAAAGATGTTTCCACTAGAGGAGGAGTCTCGAACTCAGGGACATAGTTACAGAATAAGGAGACACTCATTTAAAACTCAGATTTTAGGAATGTATGTAATTCTCTACCTCAGAGAGTTGCGGAGGCTAGATCACTGCAAGTATCAACAGGGGAGGTAGACAGAATTGTGAAATATTGAGGAGTTGAGGGCTATGAGGAGCTGGCGCCAGATAGGAGTGGGTTAGTCGTAACATCTCTGGACCAGTAAAACAGAATCCCACGTTAATGTTCTGGGATAAAAGCACAATGCTGTAGATGCTGGAAGTCTGAAATAGAAAACAGAAAGCACTGGAGAAACATAACAGGTCAGGCAGCAGGTGTGGAGAGAAAGCATAGTTTGGTATGGTCTAATAAGACTCTCATTCAGAATTTCCGAATTAGTTCTGAACAAGAGTCATATCGAACTCAAAACATTAACTCTGCTTTTTCTCCACAGTCCTTCCAGACCTGCTGAGTTTCTCTAGTACTTTCTGTTTTTGTTTTTAATGCCCTGCAGATGTGGGTTTGAATCTCGCTGGGATAGATGGTGATTTTTGAATTTAAACAAACTGAAATAAGTAGCTAGCCTGGCGGTGACCATGAAACCATTGTCAATTGTTGTAAAAAACCCATTTGGTTCACTAATGCTGTTCAGGGAAGGAAATCTGCCATCCTTACCTAGTCTGGCCTACATGTGACTCCAGACCCACAGCAACGTCAGTCAGTCTTAACTTAATCATCAGGGCTGGGCTATAAATTCTGGCCTAGCAAGTGACACCCACATCCTATGACCAAATATTTTTCAACAATCCAATGAATCTGTACTGTAAAACCATGAGAAACAGGATCTGTCGTAGGCCATTTAGCCCCTCAAGCCTACACTGCCAATCAATAGGATGGTGGCTGATTTGACATTCCTCACATCCACTTTCCTGCCTTTTTCCCATAGCCCTTGATTCCCTGACTGATCAAGAATCTATCTCAGCCTTAAATATACACAAGGACTTCACCCCCACAAGTCTCTGGGGCAGGAAGTTCCGAAGACTCACAATCCTCTGAGAGAAGAAACTCCTCCTCACCTCAGCCTTAAATTGGCGTCACTCATCCACTTTCTACCTTACTACAAAATAATGAACCATTCTTACCTTATCCTTGAAGGAGCCGGTCACCCTGTTCTTCAGGGAACTTAAAGTTCTTTTCACTTTTGTTTCTTTCTCAGGTCTTTCACATTTGCCATCACCCTCCTTTCTTTAAACCAAAGCAAGAGAATATTGTGAACGTTTATAATCAGACGTAACAGACAATTTGTTCAGTTGTGTTGGAAGTAAGGAAGTTCTTTAAATCAATACAAAATTATCTCATCAAACTGTGCCCAATTTACATAAAGTTCTAGTTTCTTGAAGACTTAAATTTTTCCTCCACTTGGTATTTGTCTTATGATGCCTTAGCCAATTGATTACTAGATATTGCCTTTAAGAAGTCATGCTGGCATTGGAGACAGTCCAGAGGAGGTCCACTAGGCTGATTCTGGGTATGGAGGGACTGTCTTGAGTAGTTCGGGTCTGCAGTCATTGGAAACATACAGGGTAAATGCAGAGAGGTTGTTTTCCCTTGTGGGAGAGTCTAGGACCAGAAGCAATAATTTCAGAATAAGGGGTCACCCATTTATGACAGAGATGAAGAGGAACCTCTCCTCTAATAAGCATGATGAATTCTTTATTGCAGGGGGCTGTTGAGGCTGGGTCATTAAGTATATTCAAGACTAATACATGCAGATCTTTAATCAGTAAGGGAACTGAGGGTTATGGGAAAAGGCAGGAAATTGGAGTTGAGAGTTATCAGATCAGCCATGAATGGTGGAGCAAACTCAATGGGCTGAATGGCCTACTTCTGCTCCCCATGTTTTCTGGTCTTAAGCTTGAGACCTAAATCCCAGTTTCTCTACTGGTTCAGATGTTAAACCAGGGTTCTCTCAGGTTAATGTCAAATACTCCAGGGCACGAGTTCCAATTGTTCTCCCCGTGCTCTGACCATCATCTATCCCACAAGGAACATTAACTAACATTGACCCTCTGGTTATTAGTGTCTGTAGGAGTTAGCTATACACAAACTGACTTCCATATTTACAGTATAACAGTGACTAATGTTTAAAAGTGTTTCCTTGGTTCTAAAGTACTTTGGGACATCCCAAGGTTTTGAGATATTCTACACAAATGTAATCTATGATTTCTTTCTTTTCTGAGAATTTCTCCAGTTGGAATAGTAGCTTTTGGTAATGACACATACAACAATAATATAGACTGGATAAAATTGGATTGAACACTCTTTCTACACCTCTCCTGAATTTCCGTTCTACTGGATTACAGGTGGGAATTTTGTTCAATTTGTTTTCTCTACTCTCTTGAGTCCAGGACTGTATTCACCCAAATGATGGATGTTGGAAGCAGGTTCTGTCTTTCTTAAATTCATTCATGGGACGTCGGCATTGCTATCTGGGCTAGCATTTATTGTCCAACTCTGGGTGCCCTTTGAGAAGGTGGGGGTGAGCTGCCTTCTTGAACTGCTGCAATCCATGAGCCGTACACAGACCCACAATGCTCTTGGGGAGGGAATTCCAGGATTTTGACCCAGTGACAGTGAAGAAACTGTGATATACGTCCAAGTCAAGATGATGAGTGGTTTGAAGGGGAACTCGCAGGGAGTGGTGTTCCCATGTAACCGCTACCCTTGTCTTTCTAGATGGAACTAGTCATGGGTTTGGAAGGTGCTGTCTGAGTCTCTTTTGTGAATGTCTGTGGTGACTCTTGTTGATAGTACACACTGCTACCCTTCAATCTAACCTTCACACAACAATAACTCCCTCTGCCTGCATCGGAAGCTAAATAACCACAAAAGGGGGGAGGGAATAGCAAGATCTGCATTAGGGTGAGATGAAATAGGATAGGAGAAGGCTCATGGGGAACCTTCACACAAGCACCAACCAGCTGAGCCGAATGGCCTTCTCTGTAAAACACAACGGAACCCTCCAAATCACATAGATGACATTCTAGAAACTTACTCTGCGAGAAATTCCATCCAGGTCAGATCATGGGTGGAGTTTGAACGAGGCAGTGCACCCGATCCTGATGCTGTTCTTGCACTGTGGAGGAAATGATCAGTCAGAATACAGTACGCACACAACATAGATTTCTTTAAGCAGTGCTTCCAAAAGCTTCACTGCTCAAATGCAGAAAGATGCACAAAAAGAAAGCTGGATCCAGAGAAAGAATTGGAACCTCACCATGGATTCAAATATAGAATCCAAGCAACAATGCAGAAGCAATTTACAGGGAAAGCTTTATATGATGTGGAAGCTCAGGAAAATGAATACTCACCGCACTACACAGCTCCCTGTGTGGGTACAGTCAAGTGAATGGAAATAAGGTATTGAATATAATTAGCCACAGCCAACAAATGACCATAGACATCTCTCTCTATTACAGAGAGAGAGAGAGAGAAGTAGTTACAAAGCTTGAGGGCTACCATGCAGCATCAAGCATGGGGCAAGGCAAGGAGACAACCTCCATAGACTATAACAATCAGGGAAGAAGCTACACATGCATGAGTCGACACTTAGATATACATGATAGTCAGTCCTTACTTACTCACTCTATACACAGAGAGCAACAATCATTTCAGCGCACATTGTGATATTCATGGAGACAAATCCACACCACCTCTCCATGTTGCCTTCCATCACCAATGGGCTCAAAGGTTAGTAAAGTGGATTAATTGAAGTTTTCCTCATTCTAATTTCTGCCCTTCTATTCCGAAGACACTAATTCCTGAAGGATTATAAAAGCAGAACAATGGGGGTTCTGGAAATCTGAAACTAAAACAGAAAGTACTGGAGAAACTCAGCAGGTCTGGCAGAATCTGTAGAGAGAGAAACAGAATTAATGCCTCCAGTCTAATACAAATCTTCTTCAGAATGTGCCTCTTCTTGGGGTTCTGAAGTGGATTGTATTCAACTCGAAGTGATAACTCTGTTTTTCTTTGCTCGTGGGACATGGACTGCCTTCTTGAGCTGCTGCAATTTGTTTGGTGTAGGTAACCTCACAATGTTTTAGGGACAGAGTTCCAGGATTTTGACCCAGTGACACTGAAGGAATAGTGATGTATTTTCCACGTTTCTCTCCCTGTCTTTGCTGCCAGACCTACTGCGTTTCTCCAGCACTCTCTGTTCTCATTAACTCATGCTGAAGAATTAATCTCTGCTTCTCTGACATGGACATCTCTATCCAAGTGCTGTATGACCCTTTGACTCTACGTAGCCATTCCTTATGTGGTGAACCTACACACCTGGTAATGGAAGAATGCTTTATGTACGTTTCAGGCCTGGCTCAGCAGGCAATCTTCTCAAACCATAAAATGAGCAAAACATCTAGGCTGACATTCCAACTGCGGAGCTGAAGAAGTGCTGCACCACAAGACATGATGATAAACTGAAGCTCTTTTCACTTTCCTGTGTGGACATGAAAGATACCAGGGCAGAATTCCAAAGTAAAGCACAATTCTTTTGCCTGGTGACTGGCTCCACTAATATTGATCTCACAAGTAACAACTAAAAGAGATTAATCACAGAATCCCTGCAGTGCAAAAGGAGGCCATTTGGCCCATTGAGTCAGCACCAACCCTCCAAAGGAGGTCCTGTCCAGGTCCAGTCCCCTACCATATCCCAATGACCCTGCATTCCCCCATGGCTCCACCTAGCCTACACATTCCTGGACACTACAGGCCATTTAGAATGGCCAATCCACCGAACTGTCACATCTTTGCACTGTAGGAGGAAACCCATGCAGACACAGGGAGAACACACAAATTCCACACAGACAGTCACCTGAGGCTGGGATTGAACCTAGGTCCCTAGTGCTGTGAGGTAGCAGTGCTAACCACTGAGCCACCAGGCCAATCTTATTTTGTTACCTTGTTATTGTTTCATTGCTATTGATGAGAGCTTGCTGTGCACTTATCAGCTACCCTGTCTCCTGCACTATAGTAATCACTGCACCATAACAATATTTGATGAGCTGAAGTTGTGTAAGGCACAATTTAAGTCTTCCTCTAAATAAAAACCGAAAGAACTGCAGATGCTGTAAATCAGGAACAAAATCAGAAGTTGCTGGAAGGTCAGCCGGTCTGGCAGCACCTGTGATGAAAAAATTAGAGCTAAATCAGTTTTGAGTCCGGTGACCCTGCCTCAGAGCTGATGGTAGCTGGGAATATTCTATGTAAACCCATGAAGAGTTATGCCCATTTCTTTGTGTGGTACATGGAACATTCCTTGTTCCAGTCCTATTCCGGCCCGCACCCACAACTCTTTCTCCAATATATCGATGGTATCATCAATGCTGCTTTCCTCTCTTGTTAGGAATTGGAAAAGTTCATCGATTTTGTTTCCAATTTCCACCCCACCCTCACCTTCACCTGGTCTATCGCTGACTCCTCCTTCCCCTTCCTCGACATCTCTGCCTCCATTTCTGGAGATAGACTGGCCACTAATATCCACTACAAACCCACTGACACCTACAGCTACCTGGACTATACATCCTCACACCCTGATTCTTGCAAAGACTCCATGCCATTCTCTCAGTTCCTCCGTCTCCATCGTATATGTTCAGTTGAGGCCAATTTCGACAAGGGTGCCTCCGAAATGTCCACCTTCTTCCTCAACCGAGGATTCCCCAGCACCGTTGTCGACAGGTCCGACCCATCTCCTGCACTTCTGCCCGCACTCCTTCTCTTCCCTCCCGCAACAGCGATAGGGTTCCCCTTATCCTTACCTACCATCCCACCAGCATCCACATTCAGAAGATCATCAGACGCCATTTCCACCAACTCCAGTGAGATGCCACCACCAGAAACGTATTCCCCTCCCCTCCCTTGTCCGCCGTCCTTGTCACTCCGGGACACCCTGATCCACTCTTCCACTCTTCCACACACCCCCAAAAACCCCCACAGCTCCACAGCACCTTGCCCTGTAACCGGCAAAGGTGCAACACCTGCCCATTTACCTCCTCCCTCCCCAATATTCAAGGGCCCAAACATTCCTTCCAGGTGAAGCAACACTTCACCTGCACTTCCCAGAATCCAGTCTATTGCATTCACTGCTCACAATGTGGTCTCCTCTACATTGGGGAAATGAAGCATTGACTAGGTGGCCGCTTTGCAGAATATCTACGTTCTGCTCACAAAAACGTCCCTGAACTACCTGTTACCTGCCACTTTACCACACCATCCTGTTCCCTGGCCAACATCTCTGTCTCTGGCTTGCTGCAGTGTTCCAGCGAAGCTCAACGCAAGCTGGAAGAACAATATCTCATTTTCTGATTGGGGACCCTGCAGCCCTCTGGACTCAATATCAAGTTCAATATAATTTTAGGGTTTAAACTCTCCCATGTCCTAGCCCCTTACCCCACATACCAGGCCTTGTTATCACATAGCCTGCCATTACACACTACTTAATGTTAGTCACTAACAGTCCCCATTAACAACTATTCACCCTGCTAGCCAGATTTGTTATCAACTCCTTTGTCTATCCAACTGCTCTTCTCTCTCTTCAGGTTCTATCCTATTGTTTATGCCCTACCCGATTCCACTCCCTATTTTCTGCATATAAACTGACGTTTTCCCAGCTACCATCAGTTCTGAGGAAGGGTCACCGGACCCGAAACGTTAACTCTGATTTTTCCTTCACAGATGCTGCCAGACCTGCTGAGCTTTTCCAGCAACTTTGTTTTTGTTCCAAGTCTTCCTCTCCTTGGGGAAGGATTAGGGTGAAGTCCAATGGGTACATCAGTCCACATTTGGGGGTCAGTGGAGAGCAACTGAGGCAAGAATCCTCAATGACTTTTTACATTCACCCCTATCACCCGCTGAAGTTATGGCAAGGAAGCAGCATTGTGCCAAACCCAGACAAAACAAGGAGACACTCTGAGGGAACAAGGTGCAGAGCTGGATGAACACAGAAGGCGAAGCAGCATCATAGGAGCAGGAAGGCTGACGTTTCGGGCCTAGACCCTTCATCAGAAATGGGGGAGGGGGTTCTGAAATAAATAGGGAGAGAGGGGGAGGCGGATAGAAGATGGCTAGAGGAGAAGATAGGTGGAGAGGAAACAGACAGGTCAAAGAGGCGGGGATGGAGCCAGTAAAGGTGAGTGTAGGTGGGGAGGTAGGGAGGAGATAGGTCAATCCAGGGAGGACGGACAGGTCAAGGGGGCGGGATGAGGCTAGTGGGTAGGAAATGGGGGTGGGGCTTGAGGTGGGAGGAGGGGATAGTTGGGAGGAAGAACAGGTTAGGGAGGCGGGGATGAGCTGGGCTGGTTTTGGGATGCGGTAGGGGGAGGGGAGATTTTGAAGCTTGTGACATCCACATTGATACCATTGGGCTGCAGGGTTCCCAAGCGGAATATGAGTTGCTGTTCCTGCAACCTTCGGGTGGCATCGTTGTGGCACTGCAGGAGGCCCAGGATGGACATGTCGTCTGAGGAATGGGAGGGGGAGTTGAAATGGTTCGCGACTGGGAGGTGCAGTTGTTTATTGCGAACCGAGCGTAGGTGTTCTGCAAAGCGGTCCCCGAGCCTCCGCTTGGTTTCCCCGATGTAGAGGAGGCCACAACGGGTACAGCGGATGCAGTATACCATATTGGCAGATGTGCAGGTGAACATCTGCTTGATGTGGAAAGTCTTCTTGGGGCCTGGGATGGGGGTGAGGGAGGAGGTGTAGGGGCAGGTGTAGCACTTCCTGCGGGTGTGGTGGGGCTGGAGGGGAGTGTGGAGCGGACAAGGGAGTCACAGAGAGAATGGTCCCTCCGGAAAGCAGATAAGGGTGGGGAGGGAAAAATGTCTTTGTTGGTGGGGTCGGATTGCAGATGGCGGAAGTGTCGGAGGATGATGCGTTGGATCCGGAGGTTGGTGGGGTGATACGTGAGGACGAGGGGGATTCTTTTTTGGAGTTCCCACTATCTCAGACACTCTGAGGGGTTTGGTGGAGGTCGGGGGGCGGTGGGGGGAGGTTGGGGAGAAGGAGAGAGTAAGTGTCAGTCAGTACCACAAGCTGAAATTTCCTGTGAACCATCAGATTAAATCAATGACCTTTCAAATAATCCTTTAACTGAGAACACTAGTAGAACACTGGCTGACAAACAGAGTGGCCAAGAAAAGAAACAAGAGCGTTGGCAGGGAACGGAGCTGCTTAGCAACATGAACAATGAGAGGCGGAAATGCACATTAGAACCTGCTCACCTGCTTGTTGAACCGTTGCAGTGTCTGGTCAGTGGGGGGGAAAGATTGGATACAGAATTAGTGATCAGCAAAACCATTTGACGCAGCTCTATATTCCCTCTCCGGGAGTACAAGGGTAAGGACAGTGTCAGATCAACACCTGACAGTCAAAGCAAAGTAGAAGTTCCTGGATAAAGAAAAAGTCCAGCTTCTAATAGATTAACTTCTCCCAAACTGGTATTCATATGATATTGGAGATGTTGACTTGTTACAGCCATCAATCACTATTGGCTATTGTACAAGGCCCCCAGATGTAAGGTGGGGAAAATCTCAATGACAGTTAGGACCAAGGTCCTTGTTCCTCCCAATCTCACTTCACTCAACATACGCCATGTCTCTTGATCTAGCATCTGTAGCACATAGCTTGGGGGTGGGGGGCTGGGGGTGTTGTTGTCAGTATTTGAGTTTATTAAGGTTTCTCGGTGTTTTTCCATCATCATCAAGACTATCATTAAAAACTGAGGGCTCCCTAGCCTAGTCAGTTCTAAACCTCAAAACTGGACAGTGTTAAATAGAAGTTCAAGAGGGAGATAGAAAAATAAGGTCTGGAAAAGAGGCCATTCTTGAGAGGATGCTAGACCTGTCTGTGGATGTTCATCCATTTGAAGAGTTGATCTGTTTTGGGGATATCTTTCATGGTCCTATGGGAAGAGGCTCCTCTGGGGAAGGTGAGTCTTTTGTAAGAGCGACGTTTTATCGAAAAGGAGGGATGTCTCCATGTGACAGCGTGCAGGGTTAGGAGAAGTTGGGACTGATATAATGACATCACATGTCTTATGTGCTGCTAGTGTGCAGATTTGTGTTAATCCAATCCTTGGGGCAGCTGCCTATACCAAGCAGTTAATTGGAAAGTAGAAATCTGTGTTCCTAGGATGTCCAACCACAGATATTTGGTGCACCTTGTGATTTCGAATCATGCTGGATAGAAAGAGGCCCTTTGGCTCATCATTTCTGTGCTGGCGCTTTGAAAGCGCTATCTCATTAGTCCCACTTGCTCTTGCTCTTTCCTTGTCACCCTGCAATCTTGTTTCCCTTTGGATTCAATTCAAGTGAGGTATTAAAATAATAAATGAGATACAACTAACCCATGAAAGGCTTTCAGTTCTTGCAGCACTTGTTGAACCAGCCTGGAAGGAGACAGAAAAACATGAATCAACATTTCCATTCAACTGACATGCATAGCAATCATGTTGTTTCTGTTGTGAAATTCCCCAGCTATAGCTCCACCTGGAGGCCCGGCTGAGTCTTACAGATCAGGAATGTCTCAGGTTCAATCCTGGCACAGAATGATCTTCAGACACGGTAGTATGAGTGGGGACTGCCCTCAGGGACATTGCACAGGCACTTGAGAGAGGTTGGAATGAGAACGGGCAATAGACAGTCACCATCAGATGTCTTCACACAATTGGCAAAGTTATTTCTCAGCTCAAATAATGGCTCTCCAGCTCAGGTGACAGATTGGAATCTGAGCTCACTTTTACGATAAGGTATTATCTTAGGAGCATTTGGGAAGAAATATCAGTGAAGGTGTAATTATCACATGATGGAGAGACTCTGGAAAAAGTAGTAACAGCCTAGACCTTTGTACTTAATCAGAATGCTTATAGTTAGTGAGATGTAAATAAATGAAAAAAACTCAATTTCTAACATTCCTTTCACATGGCAGTGCACCTTAACACCTTTCAAGGCACCCAGACTAGATACAGGGAGGATATTTCCCCTGCTTGGGGAGTCTAGGACACTGTCTCAGGATATCACAAAATCTCCACTGTGTGGAAACAGCCCTTTCAGTCCATACCGATCCTCCAAAGAGCATTCCACCCAGGCCCAACCCCTTATCCTATCCCTGCAACCTTGCATTTCCCATGGATAATCCACCTAATCTGTGGGAGGAAACTGGAGCTCATGGAGGAAACCTGCACAGTCAGGGGGAGAATATGCAAACTCCCCATAGACTTCCCATAATCTCCTGAGGGTGGAATCAAACCCAGGTCCCTGGTGCTGTGAGGCAGCAGTGCTAACTACTGAGCCACCGTGCCACCCATTCACTGTGCTGCCCATGTGGGGTAGACAATTTACTACGGAGATGAGGAAATATTTCTTCACTCAGAGGGTGACGAACCTGTGGAATTCCTTACCACAGAATGTTGTGGAGGCCAGTGTAATGATTGTAATGTGGCCAGTCAGCTGGATATCATAGAATATGAGTTCCCTAATTGGGGCTGTTAATCTGGTCCTGGCTGAATATAAAATGGGTGAGTGTCAGAGATACTGACCCTCTGGTACCTGAATCTGAATGAGGCAGTACTAAAGTCAAGGACTGTTCATGTGTAAATAAAGGGTAACATAAGAACATAAGAAATTGGAGCAGGAGAATACCATCTGGCCCTTCAAACCTGCTCCGCCATTCAATAAGATCATGGTTGAACTTTTCATGGACTCAGTTCCACTTACCCTTCCTCTCACCATAACCCTTAATCCTTTTACTATTCAAAAAATGATCTATCTTAGCTTTAAAAACATTCAATGAGGTAGCCTCAACTACTTCACTGGGCAGGGAATTCCACACATTCACAAGACTTTCGGTGGAGAAATTCCTCCTCAGTTCAGTCCTAAATCTGCTCCCCCTAATTTTGCGGCTATGTCCTCTTGTTCTACTTTCACCTGCCAGTGGAAACAACTTCTTTGCTTGTATCTTATCTGTTCCCTTCATAATTTTAAACATTTCTGTAAGATCCCCCCTCATTCTTCCAAATTCCAATTAATATAATCCTAGTCTACTCAGTCTCTCCTCAGAAGCCAACCCTCTCAACTCTGGAATCAACCTAGTGAATCTCCTCTGCACGTCCTCCAGTATCCAGTACATCCTTTCTCAAGTAAGGAGACCAAAACCGTACACAGTACTCCAGGTGTGGCCTCACCAGCACCCTATACAGCTGCAGCATCACCTCCCTGCTTTTAAACTCAATCTCTCTAGCAATGAAGAACAAAATTCCATTTGCCTTCTTAATTACCTGCTGCACCTGCAAACCAACCTTCTGTGATTCATGCAAAAGGACACTCAGGTCCCTCTGCACAGCAGCATGCTGCAATTTTTTACCGTTCAAATGATAGTCCTTTTTACTATTATTCCTACCAAAATGGATGAATTCACATTTATCAATATTGTACACCATCTGCCAGACATTTTCCCACTCACTTAAACTATCCAAATCCCACTGCAAACTGTCAGAGTCCTATGCGCACTTTGCTCTACCACTCATCTTAGTGTCATCCACAAACTTCAACACACTACACGTGGTCCCCAATTCCAAATCATCTATGTAAATTAGAAACAATCGTAGTCCCAGCACTGATCCCTGAGGGACACCACGGTCACCAACCAGAAAAGCATTCATTTATCCCCATTCTTCACTTCCTGTTAGTTAACCAATCCTCGATCCATGGTAATACATTGCCCATAATGCCGTGCACCTTAATCTTATGCTGCAGCCTTTTGTGGATCCCTGTTGTCCACCAAACTCGTAATGTCTTCATAGAATTCCAGCAAATTCATCAAGCATGACCTGCCTTTCATGAACCCATACTGCGTCCACACAATGGGGCAATTTCTATTGGATATCTTGCTATTTCTTCCTCAATGATAGATTCAAGCATTTTCCCACTACTTAAGTTAAGCTAACCGGCCTATAATTCCCCATCTTTTGTCTATCTCCTTTTTTGAACAGTGGCATCACATTTGCTGTTTTCCAATCTGGTGGAACTGCTCCAGACTCCAGCGAATTTTGGAAAATTACCACACATGCATTTGCTATTACTCCAGCCATCTTTTTCAGTACCCTGGGATGCATTCCATCAGGGCCAGCAGATTGCCTACCTTTAGCTCCATTAACTTTCCCAACACTACCTTTTTCATAATAATGATCATGTCTAGTTCTCAATTACTAGCAAGTTATTTGTATCCTCCACATTGAAGACCAACACAAAATACCTGTTCAATGCCTCAGCTATTTCCTCATTTCCCATTATTAAATCCCCCTTCTCATCCTCTAAAGGACCAACATTTACCTTAGCCACTCTTATTTGTTTTATATTGTTATAGAAACTTTTGCTGTTGTCTTTATATTCTGAGCTAGCTTAGTCTCATAATCTATCTTACTCTTCTTTATAGCCTTGTCTGTGGCTTTCTGTTGACCTTGAAAGTTTTCCCAATCTTCTAGTTTCCCACTGGTCTTTGCCACTTTGTATGCCTTACCTTTCAATTTGATAGCCTCCCTTATTTCCTTAGACATTCATGGCTGATTACCCCTTTTCCTACAGTCCTTCCTTCTCATTGGTATATACTTTCATTGAGCACATTGAAAAATTGCTTTGAAAGTCCTCCACTGTTCCTCAACTGTCCCAGCATAGAGTCTTTGCTTCCAGTCTACTTTAGCCAACTCCTCCCTCACCTTATTGTCGTCTCCTTGGTTTAAGCATAGGACCCTGGTATTGGATTTTATCTTCCCACTTTCTACCTGTATTCTAAATTCAACCATTCTGTGATCGCTCCTTCCAAGAGGATCCCTAACAATGAGATCATTAAATATCCCTGTCTCATTACATGGGACCCTCCATCCTGCTTGCAAGGGATACTATCTATTCCCATAATTATAGAGTAACTTGGAGATGGGATACCAGCCTCTCTGAAGTTACTTCAGCCAGGTCACTGAGGATATGCAAGAAAGATTGATAATGATTTAGATATTAAAGGCATTGAGGGGCATGCAAAGAAACAGGAATGTGACATTGAGATAGAGGATTGGAAATGATCAGATTGAATGGCAGGGCAAACTCAAAGGGCTGAGTAGCCTATTGCTGTTCCAAATTTCTATGTTTCACACAATAACAGATGCTCTGTTTATCTGGAGACCCAGCCAGTCCCATTCCCCTCTTCTTTCCTCAAAGCACTGCAAGTTTGTTTCCCTCAAGTGTGCATTCTTTCGAAATCACTGTGACCCGCCCTCTTCCCCACCCACGGTGTAGGAGGTAACAATTACACTCACTGCATGAAAAAGGTTCTTCCCCATAATGTCTCGTACATCTTGCATAAAATCTTAACTTGGTCTTTATGTAATCAGCAAACAGGAACAGTTTTTCTTTCTCCATCTTATAGAAACTTGCCATAGTTGTGTTCACTCATATCAAACATACCTTCAATATTCTTCGCCCCCAAGGAGAACAATCTCAACCTCTCGTGACTGACTTGTGACCTGACTTTATATAGCCATTTTTTTCTACATACTCCTTAAAGAAGCAAAGGACTGAACTACCCACGTAACAGTCTCCAAACCACCTGATCAATAACAGATCCCAATGTTGCCAAACTCATGCATTAACTAGCAGCAGGCTCCCTAGACTGATCCTTACAAGTGGTTGGGCTCCAAATTTTCCTTCTCCTCGTGGATCTCCAGGGAAGTTTCAGGTTCTGAGGTGGAGGAGAAGAACATAATTAATATAGTTAAAGATATTCTGGTGCAACAATTTAAAATTCCACTTGTAGACCATGACGCAAATGAAGAAGTGCTTGAAATTACAAATTGCTAACAATAAAGAGGCCTTTTGATCAGAAGAGATGCTGACTGGAGCTGACCAGGTGGATGTCGAAAGGATATTTCCTCTCATGTAAGAATCTAGAACTAGGGGGTCAGAGTTTAAAAATAAGTAGGTGCCCATTTAAGAAGGAGATGAGGTGTTTTTCTCTCTCTCTCAAAGGACTGAGAGTCTTTGGAATCCCCTTCCTCAAAACACAGTGAGCGCAGAAATTTTAGATATTTTCAAGGCAAAGGTAGACAGATTTTTGATGACCAAGCGATTGAAAGATTATCACGGAATATGCAGGAATGTAGAGTTGAGGTTAAAGTCAGCTCAGCCATGATTTTATCGAATGGTGAAGCAGGATTGAAGCGCCAAGTCTTGTCTCTTGTTCATATGTTTTTATGAAAAGCGGTGGAGGTCTCTTTGAGAGGGAAAATGAGTATTGGGCAGGAAGAGTGTGGTCTAGTTGGACAGAGGATGCCACTGAGCAATTACAGATGAAGCGATGTATGAGGATGGATGGGGGTGACATACCGTAAATAACTGACACCCAGCAGGTGGAGGTGACCTGAGAGGAATCTAAAATTCACCTCCTAATTTCAAAATGCTTGTACAATGAACTTAAAAATACTTTTTGAAAAGTGATTAATTGTACAGAGTTACTACAAAGTAGACAGAGTGAGAATTCAGACACACCAAAATGTTTCATGGACATAGGCGTTGCTGGTGAAGTTTGGATCTGTTTGAACGTAGCTGCATTGTAACATTTGCAATAGCGTCTTTGAATCACAGATGTGCAAACCATACCCTTCTCCTCCCCTGGCAATAATGGTTGTCAGTGACTCGTCCTTTGAAATCAGGGCTCAGTTAACATTTTGACCAAACCAGGGGCCCTCTGTGCCTTGACAGAAATTTGAGCCTCAGGGATGGCCCTTCATGTGGTTGACTCACCTGACTCTCTGGATTGGGCTGGAGCCAGACTCCGGGAAGCGCGGCTCTCAGCTCCCTTGGACAGATACGTTTCTAATCGTGGTCTCATCGTTGTACCCTCTTTCACCTGGAGGCAACAAGCAAGAACATTACCAACCAATTTATGCTCAGTCGTCCCTGCTTTCAAAATCCCTCCCCTCTCCCTCCTGGTTACCACAGGAGCGGGTTCACTGATCCTTCTTTAGTCTTGGATTCAAGTTCACTCCAAAGGATGAGGATCCTGTGCTGGCACTCCAATGCTAGGGGTGCTGCACTGGTGAAGATCTTGGAAGTTTACAGATGGGACATTAGGTCGGCCCTGTCTCAGCCAGACAGAGGAGATCCCATGGCACTATTTCAAAGACAAGTTCTGCCCCTGGTGCCTTGGCCAATATTTATCCTTTTTTCAACATCACAGACTATCACACGGCTGCTCATGGGATCTTGTAGTGCATATGTGTTTCCCTGGTGACAATGGTTCAAAGTGTTCCCTTGTTTGAAATGCTTTGGGCTGTTGCAAGATCTGTAGAAACACAAATCTATCTTCTTCCTTTCCTGGAATTTCTTTTATTCATTCACAGGATGCAGGCCAGCATTTATGGCCCACCCTGAAATGCCCAGAGTGCCAATAAGAGTCAATTTGCACATTGCTGTGGGTCTGGAGTCACATGTAGATCAGACCAGGTAAGGGCAACAGTTTCCTTCCTGACAGGACATTGGTGAACCTGATGGGTTTTTAAAAATGAGAATTGCCAATGGTCACCATCAGGCTCGCTTTGTGTTCCTGATTATTGTTGAAATCAAATTTCCCCATCAACCACAGTGGAATGAGAACTCATGTCCCCAGAACATCAGCCTGAGGTTCTGGATTACCAGGTCAGTGACGTTACCACACTCCATCACACTCTCTTCTTCTCGACTTTCTCACGGTTTCCTTCTTGGCTCTGGGCACTGTCCAGACAACTGGCAGTTATTGACTTTCTATGGATCTAGGAACATGCTCACCAGTCAGCGGTGGTAGAATTAGTGAAAGATTCATCAGGAGGTAGATTTTACAGAGTCCCCTAAAGGAACAGTGAGAGCTCGAGAGATGGAGAACTGTGAGAAGCTCAGAGTTTAAGGCCTAGGCAATCGAAGTCACAGCCATCAAGCAATGGATAACACAGCGTGGAGCTGGATGAACACAGCGGGCCAGGCAGCATCAGAGGAGCAGGAAAGCTGACGTTTTGGGTTGGGACCCTTCTTCAGAAAATGAGGGAGGGGGAAGGGAGCTGGGAAATAAATAGAGAAAGGAGGGTTGGGGCTGGGGAAGGTAGGTGGGATGGTAATAGGTGAGTGCAGGTAGGGAGTGGTGGGGATTGGTCAGTGAGGTGGGAGGAGCGGATAGGTGGGAGAGAAGACGGACAGGTCAAGGAGGCAGAGATGAGAGGGAGGGTTGGTCATGGGATGAGGCTGGAGGC